TATCCCTAGCTTATTAGAAGCCCTAATACTTATTTCACTCTTTGCTGCTTCCTGGTTCATGTCGGCCGAAACCTTTTCATGTCGGCCAGCACTACAAGCTCTTCGCACTCACGTATTTCGCCTCGCTTCCTTCTTCAGTTACATATCTATTCGTAGATACTGAAAAATTCCTTTTAAAATTTTATTCTAGAATATCCTTAAAAATTGGCAAAAAGTATTTAAAAAAAAAAATTTTGTTTAGGATTATTCATCCCTGTGACAGTTTTTAAATTCTACAGAATTTGTTCTTTCATTCGGTACCCATATTATTATTCCACATTGCACCGAATTTTTTTAAATAATTTTTTGGTTTGATCATTTTTTCGAAAGTCCTTTTAAAAAATTCTGACGTCAGAGAGAAAAACTAAAAGCGCAGTATTACTAAATCTGGCCCATAACTTGATTGGCTTGCTTGTTTCGTATGTTTTGAATTATTTTGGTTTATGTCGCACAGTGTAATCATTGCCTAATAGTATTTCTGCAACTTTCTCAATTTTCAACTGATCTTGGACTTTGATAGCTTTCTAGATAGGATATTTAATGGAAAACAGGCAATATATTAACTAATTGCTAAAATTTCGTTTTATGGGATTGGGAATGAAACAATATATTTTTCCTATATTTCACGACCTATTTTAATACTTTCCCGGCTGTATACTTTCCCGATCGTATTCGATCGCCAACACATTTTATATTGGAAGCATTAAGGCTAAAACGAAACTTTTTCTTTCCGGCGGTTTGAAATCCATTTTTAAGGGCGAACCTATTGTACATACATATGTATGTATATGTATCTGCAATATTTATGGTAAAATATATATGCATACATAAGGAAGGGATGCGATACAAATTAAGGCTTTTTACTCCACCATGGACCGATGGACCGCGGAGGTATTACGATAAGTAAAGGAGGGTACACTATTTAAAAAGTTATAGACGGACATAATTTTGTTTCCGCATGCGGCTAACATTAAAATTCAAATGGTTAAGGCGTTTGTGCTTAAATTCAGGTGTTCCAAATTAAGCGCTTTTTCCCACAGATAAACAGGTAAATATGGAATTAGAGTCCTTCGAACATTTTAACATCTATGCAACCTACACTTAGAATTCGATTGATTCACTTAGGAATTTCTGCTCAGGTATTTGCAGAGGCATTTGAAACAAAGTTCTCTTTAAAGCATCACCACACACACAGGTAGACTTACATACATAGAAACTAGGGATGTTGCGTATGTGGAATTTTAGACATCCGCGGATGCGAATGCGGATAGGTAAATAAAAACTGGAAAAGTTAGTAATATATAATAATTTTGTTTTTATTTAGTATTTCAATTTAAAAATTGAAACATTCTATTTAATAAAGAGTAATTTTGTTGCCTTTTCGGGGTACAACTTGTTTCTTAAACGGACGTAAATCAAACCTGCCCCATTAAATACCAACTCGCTCGAGACGACAAACTTGAAACTTGACAAAATTGTAAATTCTTTTCGATTGACGCTGCACGAGTTGAGAGGACTTTCAGTTATATTATTTTTTTATCGCGGTGCAATAATGTTTTTTTTTTTGAGAATTGCATCGGGGCTGCAAATGTCGGATGTATCCTCCTGACTTTCATCTTTACAATCTAGTATCATGGCAAGATCGTTGTTTAAACACCGTTGTTTCCCCAAGAATTATCATTCTCATTCTTTAGGATGTTACTGAATTTGGAAAACCTGTAACGTCATCATCGTTTTTCGATTGTAGTATTTGTAGTTTATTTTTAATCCTTTCTTCTGTGACTGGCCAGACAACTTGTTTAATTTGGATAAGCGGTTTATTTATTATCCAGAAAGGACTTTTATTTCGGAATAAAAAATTGTTGACCAAGTATAACTCGTAAAAAATAACTGTTAATTTCCGTCTTTTAAATATTCGCATTCGCAAAAATCCGCATTGATTATTGCGAATGCGAAAGCGAATGTTAAAATTAATGCGGAAGCTCCGCGGTAGCGATTGCGTATATCGCAACAACCCTGACAGAAACATAGAATGTTGTCCCTATCCAAAAAATACAAGCTTCTGAAATACTCCTCAAACCTATTCATTATACACTGAGCAACAAGAGAAACTGGAAGTCAAGTGCGACTGCTTCCAGCAAAAGAGAGCAAACGAAGCCAAACCAATTGTTAATATGTATTATTGATATTCTTTAAAAAGCACAGGCAAACTGCACCGAATTCGAGTGCCTGCCATGTGTACATAACGTGGCCATTCACAATAGAAGCAACACAACAACAGCTAGCGAGAAGGAGCGAGAGAGAAGGAGGAAAGTGCGAGTACTACTTAAACCACGCCCTTGCGTGCGCCTCTCACTCATACATAATTGATGGCGATGAGCGCACAAGCGAGTGACAGGGAGCAAGCGAATAGCGGTGCTTCTGGTATGGATGGCTGGCCAAATGGCGAAATGCCTTGTTGTTGCGGCGGGCACAGCGCACTCGTTGGCGACAAGTGCCGTTGGATACAGTGAATGCTGTGCGCGCCGCTGGCAGTGTATTTTAGGTGTTTGTGCGCGGCGGTGTGTATGTGCGTGTGTGGAGCGAACCCCACCCCGTGCCAAGATGGCTGGCTGGCGATACCGTTGAGCGACCATATAAGATAGACAGATACTGCTAAGCCAAATGATGCCGATGGATATAGTCGCGCTATCTTTGTTGCGCCACCTTGACCTCCATATTGGAAATCGCTTCTCAATACTCACAACAAGTATGTATGTACATATATTTGCTTGCTGATAAAGCTGGTTGGAGCAGCGCCAATGTGCATGTGGGTATGTGCACTTTGTTGTGGTTGTTGTTGCTTATAGGCTGGTAGTGGTGAAGCTTTGGATGGCAGCCTTAACGCGCGATTAGGCCAAGCAGCCAAAATAACAAAAAAAGAAAACAATAGCGAGCAATCATGCTTATCTCGCTATAGGCGAACTGAAGGGGCGCCGGACTGCTGAATAAATATACATACATACATATTTACATTTGCATAGGCGTGCGAAAAAGTATCTACAATCAGTTGTGATACAGACAAATATGTTTTTGGTTAAGTGTACTTTTTTCTCAACGGATTTTATGATAAACTTATTTTAAATAAAGGAATATTTTTCGAAAAATTAAAAACCTAAAAGTTGCCTTAAAACAAAGCGCCTCATCGACCATTCACAAAGTTTTCAGCTCGATTTACAGCCGACGCCTATGAAATCAAAGTTACTTCTTTTTAAATATGTACGCTGCCGGCAAAAAGTATTGGCACAGCTGCTTTTTTTTACAATATATGCAACAATTTTTATCGCAAAAATTTTCCACATCAAAAAACATAAAGAGATAATTTTTAAACCTTGTGCAAAACTCGCCAAAATTCAATAAATTCTCATGCAAATTTTCCACTTTTTAATCAGATCTTTTAGAATTTTTTCGGGTATGCAGATTTGTAGCCCATTAAATTCCAGTATAAAAAATGCAAGTTCGGAGTTAGTCAAAAATCGTATTGATTTTTGAGAATTTTCGTAAAGTGTTTTTGAAAAATTTTTTGGTTTGGAAGAGACTGCGGGAAAAAATTGCCAAAAATCAACAGTATTTCGTAGCTACTTAGAACTTCCACTTTCCACAATTCTAAAAAATCAAATTAAAAAGTTGAAAATTTGCATGAAAAGTGGCTGATATTTCGCGAGTTTTGCACAAAGTTAAAAATCATATTTTTATGTGTTTTTTTTTGTGTGAATGAACCATAATTTTATAAAAAAAATTTCGCAAAAATATTATAACAAAAATTGTTGCATAATATGCAATATTACAATATATTATATTGAAAAAAAGTATCTGTGCCAATACTTTTTGCCGGCAGTGTATGTTTTTTTTGCGCCACTCGAGTTTCTTAACTATTGCCGTTGTTGTTATTGCTGCTGCTGTATAGCACACAATTGTATTTGTAGAGGACTGCGAATTGGAAGGAAGAAGCCCATCGAACGCACGCCAACAACAAAACTGCTCTCCGTTGGAGGTGGTGTGGTAGTGGTGGTGATTGAAATTCGCGTTTGGCAACATACGGCGCTGCTTAGCCGCCTGCCAGCCAGCCTGCTTGAATTGGATGGTTCGTCTCCGACTAGTGGTTGCTCGCTTCGATTTCATAACAATTCGATTCAAATGCGAATTGTCCGCTCGGCAAGTGTAACGCGTTTGTGCCTACTTGATCGCTAGTTTTGGCAAAATTTTCGCATCATTGTGCAAAAGCTTTTACATATACATACATACATAAGCATATATGTACATTTGTATGCACAGAACAATGCATTACTTCAAATGTTAGCTCATCATTCCGTTACACATTTAATGGCCAGCTAAGGGATATTCAGTTGCTCCCAGCGTGGCTAGTCCGGTCAACGAAGCCTCACAGCTCAGACAGCGCCTTCTCAAATTGTGCTGCAAGTGCAAGTACTGCAGCGCCCGTAGCAATGCCGTAATTTATTGAAATTAATTTAAAGTGTCAATTAAATTATAACCGTGAATTAAGTGCTGAGTGTAACCGCAGACAAAACAAAGAGTGCGATAAGACGAGGCAGCTGAGAAGTGGGGGAAGTTGAGTTTTGAAAAGTGTGTTAACGACTTGAACACCGAAAGTATATACATATAAATACATATATGTACGTATGTATGTAAATACATCAACGTATCAATGTATAAATGCAGATATTAGTACAGATACTTATATGAAAAAAATAAATAAATACAAAGCTGTGTACTCATACGTGAAATTATAGGCGGAAAAACTTAAAAAATAAAATTAAAAAATGAAGTAATCAAAGTAATTATCAAAACAGTGCAACTGCGGTAACATATCTGCAAAAAAAATCATCAGTTTCATCCGTCCTACTAGCGGTCATTCATAACAAAAAAATAAAAATAAAATTCGTCTAAGACTCATCATCTCCGGTTCTCTGGGCATCCCACCCATATACCAACAAATTTAAATACTTTTATTATATTCATCACCAGCAATTCTGGTGCCGGCAGCCTGCGGTGTCAGACATTTGTGCCACCGTTAGTCAGCCACCGCCATCACCGGCGTCAGAGTTTGTGAGTGTGTGTTCGCGTAGAATGCTCGGCTTGACACCAATTTTCACTTCCGGATTTATGCCAATGACTCTTTTTATGTGTTTGGGAATTTCGTGAACTTCGCAAATGTCTAATTAAACGAACTTTTATGCTGAATTCGAGTTTGATTGTTCGCATTAGCAGAGGTGAGTAGAATTGATTTTTAATGAGTGCCTCAGCTTATTAGCTTTGTAAGTGTTATGTTAGTTTTTATGACTGTTAGATAGCTATTTCGAATTTTATAGGTTCCTTAAATGTTCGCATCAAACATCATTAGCCTTGCCTTTATTTAGTCCAATTTATTTCATAGTAGCAAATACTCTCGACTACTGCACCCTCTAATAATAATAACTAGTATCGCCCAGTTGTCGAAATTCGACAACTTTTTTCATACACTTTTGAATTTTACTTGTCACCAATACTAACTCCTTTATTAGAATTACTATTTTGAATTTACAGGAAAACTTAAAGTCGAATTACGAACATTAATACCGGATTGATAAATGTTAATTCTACTAAGTCTCCTCCAAATTTCTTCAGTAGGTTTTGAAAATAGACCGAAAAAGGAACCTCGACTTTCATTTATAAAAAATATGCATATGTATTTGCATGTATGATGAGACGTTCATCACTGACTAACAGGCCCGTCGAGAGGGAGGGGGTAAAGGGGTTAATCCCCCCGGGCCTGAGGTTCTTAAGGGGCCCGAAATATCAGAACCCTAACTTGTTATTATTTTTTTACAATGTAATTTCTCCTTCATTATAGGCTTTTATTATAAGTATTATAAATATATTCCGATTCGTGCTAATTGCTTCTGACTCTATAAATTAAAGAAAATGATCATATAGCCCAAAATGCGTACTGTTACCATACTTTACGCAATTAGTTACTTTTGCACCGAAAACATTTTATAATGAAAAGTATAGGAAACTGCTTTATTGTGAAGAAGACCGAAAATGCTCGAAGAAAACTAGATTTTTCCCTTTTTTAGCCTGATGGATTCCGCACCAAAAAAACGGGCCTTGCCGACTTTATTTTCATTAAGAAAGTTAATCACTGATTATTTTGTCGAATACTTTTTTATTAACTTCAAAGTAATACAAGGCAATCGAAGAGAAGCAAGTGTAATGCAAAAAATGGTGGCCCATAAATATAAACAACCCTTAATTTCATGTTGTGCTTTTTTAATTTTCATTAATTTAAAGGTGTCTCTGGATTAAGTGAATTTTCGAGAGAAGGAGATTCGTGTTAATATTTATAATGCCTGATACCTCAAAATATGTATGACCCAGATTAATCAAAAATCTGCGAAACCTGAGAAAAAAGGGGGGTTTCTTTTGCCGCGATTTGAGTCATATGACTTTAATTTTATACGCTTTATATATTGGGGACCGTGATTTTTTAGTTCCGGCACCGAGTTTTCTCTCGACGGCCCTGCTGACTAATATGCCAAACCTATACTAATTCAGTCTGTAAATAAGTTTTTCGATTATATTTGTCTGAGAGCCTCTTAAACTAAAAACTAAATTGCCTACATATACAGTCATAAATTCTTCTTTTTTGATCAGAATCGTTAATGGCTGAAAAAAGTATCTTGAAGGTTTAAAACAAAATATAATATTTTCTTCTCTAATGGTTTCACACGGGTTTTTGTCAAGACTGGGCCACAGCCCAATATTTTTGCATCACACGATTGGGCTACCAAGTTGCATAAAATTTTTTATTACTAATATGTGTTCTAAAACTGAAACAAATCTGATCATAAATATGACTTTTTAGGATAGCTCTCAATCCCTGCGCCACCTATCGGAAGACAAACAAACTGATCCTTCTAAAAACCTTTGCACAAAATAGCAATCATTCAATGCGATTTAAAAATTTGGGAGAAACTGGTTCGCAATTGAATGATTTTTGCCATTTTATATGTATATAGATGTAGATGGTTCCAGAGAAAAGCGATATGAGAACTTCAGTTTGTATGGGAGGTGCCACGCCCCCTTTTCCGAAATATACCACTTTTCATCGTAAGTACGGTATTTATAGCATATGTAACTGTGTCAAATTTCAAGACGTTAGCATAAGCCGTTCCAGAGATAAACGATATGAGAATTTCAGTGGGTATGGGTGGTGCCACGCCCCCTTTTCCAAAACATACTAATTTTCGCCATAAGTGCGTTATTGATAAAATATGTAACTGTGTCAAATTTTGGGACATTAGCATAAGCGGTTCCAGAGATAAATAATATGAGAATTTCAGTGGGTATGGGTGGTGCTACGCCCCATTTTCCAAAAGCTACAGCTTTTCGCCATAAGATATGTCGATGTAATAATTTTTGGGACGTTAGCATAAGCGGTTCCAGAGATAAATAATATGAGAATATGAGTATGGCAGGTGCCACGCCCCCTATGTAAGGGGGTTAAAGTTTCTGGATTAGAGATAGTTATATCCTTTAAATCGGTGCATGTTTCAGTGAAATCGAGCGAACGGTGCCCTCAAAAAAGGGAGATCAAAATTTTCTTGTGGCGTATTTATATATAGATTATTTTACTTAGGGTTATCTCAAGTAAAAACTTCATGCCACCAACGTAAAAGTCTCTATAAAATTAAAACAAAAAATCTATGTCAAGAAAGAATAACAGCCAAACACAATTATACAAATTTTTTTTGTAAAAAAAAACGTTTTTTTTTTTGTTGATTTTTTGTTAAAATTTTTTAAGAGATTTTTACGTTTTTGGAATGAAGCTTTTGCCTGAGAAGACCCCTAGTAAATTTTCCGCTGAATAGTTTTGTGGAATACATATATCAGTTCTCTAATCATCTTCTAAATTTGCTTTTTACGGGGTTTCTTGAAGTAACGGTCAAAACGATCCTTTCGGGCGGGAGCTAATGGGTTAAAATGCTCTACGAAACTATTTCCAATGAAATTTTACTATTGAGGGATTTAAATGGTGTCGTAAGTCGTATTGTTGTATGCCCTACACTTTAAAAGCTTTAATAAATGTTTAGAGAACTTGAAACCACAACCAACTATTTTTTAACCCTACGAAAATTCATACTATGACTTTGATGGTACTTTGCGAACCCCCCAAATATATTTTTAGGCACTTTGTATGTTTTAAGCGTTAAAAGTTTACGACATATGTACAACAATAGGACACTTACGACACCCAATTGCTGCACAACAGTTACACTACAGACAGTTTTACGCCGCAAATAGATTTTATAGGAAGCTTTTTCATGGCTCATGGTTTGGCATTGCCTGGCGAGAATGATCGCTAATAGAAGTATATTTTTCTTTTTTCGACGTTGCCCGGACTAGGAGTCGAACCCAGATCCCACGGAGTGGTAGTATTTAGCTGGCAGGAACTAGGGGCCCTAGACACTTTCCCCAATTGTCCAAAGGAAAAGATAGACCTGAAGTGAAGTCAATCCAAAGCAAATTGGATTCTTCTGGAAGCATTTCTTAACATTTCACAAATAGGCTGTTTTTCTAGAGAAGCGTTTTTGTGAAAATACATCACAGATAAAAATGGATCAAACAAAAAATTGTTTCAGCATTTTAACATATTATTTTGTGGTAAGGTTCTTGACACAAATTTGATTTGAAATTTTTTTCACCTCGTTGGCCTTCAGCCCGGCTTTTCTATTTGGCTGAAAAGATCACGAGAAGTTAACTTCACTGGTCAATTTCCTTCCTGAAATACCTGGATCTTTACTTAGACTTCTCACAACTTTCACAGTTACCCTTTCACCCTTGATATCTCTTTGTACAGTATGCCGTGGACTAAATAAGCGCTGACACAAGGTTTGTACTGAAAAAAGTTCGTTAGATTTTCTATTTGCTTTCATAAGGTATTTTTGTTCACAGAGAAAACATTCGTGTTTTAATAAGACAACTTATTTGAATTTACTAAAATTGGTTTTTCATATTATTACGTATTCTTTATTACCGTATCTGAAAGGATGGAGCGGCAAGCTACCGTTCTTTATATCTCAAGATGAATGGCAGGTTAGCGCAGCTTTTTAATTAATAATAATCACTTTCATAACAGAATGGCGCTTACACATATGTTAGTGTTTGGCCGAGCTTCTCCTCCGTTTTGTGGCATGCGTCTTGATGTTGTCACACAAAGAGGGCTTTTTATATTTATTTAAGTATTTTTGAATTAAGTAAATTAATAAAAGGAAAATAATTTTTAATTAATAATAAATTTATTTTATTGTCAAAAATTTCAACCGAATTACAAACTAGACTACCTATATATCGCACACGATCTTCAAAGGGGACACATCACAAAATTACACGTACGTCAGAAAATGCGAAAAACTATTTCTTAGCACATACTTATCATATGGGTAAGGAAGACTTTACCTTAGGTTTTTTTTTTTTAACAAATTATAACAAAAATTTGCTCCAGCTTTTGCCAAAAGGTAAATAAAAGCTCAGTGTACATTTTTATTGCATAATTTCAAAAATGCCTAGATTTGAGTTTGTCACGTTTGAAGATCGTATGCGATATGTACTATACTCGTACATACTCACTTATTTGCTTATATGCTCTACAACGACTTATCTCAAAAAACCAAAACATAGAAGTTGACGTCAATCCACCAAACTGTCCCAAACTAAGGCCCTGGGCCTTCTTTAAAAGGAAAATGAAAATCATAACAAATTTGGACTTGAACCCTTAAGAGAATTAAAACTTTTTATTAAAAAATTATAGTTGTTGCTTTTGACCATTTTATGTATGTAAATTTCGACAACTGGTTTAAAATATATCTGTATTTGTATGGAATAGTAGCTTATGTCGGAAGGCAGGCTTTAGTATAATGTACCATCTAAGTATGTATGTATGTTTATATAACTATAATACGCGAAGGCATTTCTTGCTCCGCATAAAAGATCTGCACTGTTCGTTCAATTTTCAAAACTGGGGTGTCGAATTGAAGCGCTTGTTGGCCTGTAGATGTGCAAACTGGTTTTTGATTTCTCGAAAAGAGTTGCCACCTGTTGAAAAATTAAATTCAAATTATTTAATAATCAATGCCATCGAATTTACAAAATGAGGCGTTAAAGTAAAAGCCTTGAACTGTAGATGTGCAATAAGGTTTTACTTTTTTGAAAAGAGTTGTCACCTTTTAAAAAATTATATTCAAATTATAAAAAAAAAAAATAAATCAATTATTACAAACTGGGAATCAATGGAAATGGTTTTGAAAAGCTTTGCTTCTTAGCTGAACTATAGGAGGGTTGCCACCTGTTTAAAAAATCATATCAGGTAAGACAAATATGTATCACCATATGGGTGTCTAACGAAAGAGGTTTCAGAAAATAGTAGTCTGAAAATATTTCGAAGAGGGTTGCCCACCTGTTTGAAATGTCGAATTTAATGTAATTATTCACAAGTTATACGAAATATAATTATATGGATGTCAAACGAAGGAGTCTTATAAATCTTTAGTTTGAACACTAAGAATATGTTAGAAGTGTTGGAAGATGGTTGCCACCTCTTTAAAAAGTTAAATTCGAATTATTTTATAAGTTAAATGAATTATTAAAATATGGGTATCAATCGAAGCGTGTTTGAAATTTTTTTATTTCTGAACTGTCTTTATCGGGGTTGCCACATGTTTGAAAATTAAAATTCCGTTTAATTCATCAGTTAATTAAAATATGTATCGTAGTGTCCGGCCGAGGAGAGTTAACAATGATTAAGCTTGAAAATACTTTTAAAAGGGCTGCCACCTATTTCAATTAACTAATTCAAAAAGTATATGAAATATAAAAATACGGCAGTCAAACGAAAGAATGTTAAAAAATCTTTAGTTTGAACATTTCGATTGTATGAAGAGAGTTGCCACGTGTTTAAAAAGTAACATTCAAATTATTCATTATGGGATGGATGAATTTCTAAAAAATGGGTATAAATCGAAATGGGTTTGAAATGGATTTATTCCTGATCTTTATTTAGGAGCGTTGCCATTTGGTCGATTTTTTTGAAATTCAATTTTGGGCGTATTAACGTCATGCGGGTTCACTAGTTCCCTTTATTCTCTAAGCCACAAGGAATTTTTTAATGAAATTTAATAACAATATTGACTCTAGTATCGGAACTTGCCAAGAATTTTTCAACGGCTCGGCACTTGTGAGTCATTCGCAATCGTATGCTGCATTATACTAAAGCCAGCCTTCCGATATAAGCTATGTAGATACTATTCCATACGAACACAGATATTATCATTCTGATGAAGTAAACTCATTTTGGTGGACTTTTTGTGGACTTATTATTGATGTAAAATATTAACTTTTATCTAAAGAAATTTATCTTTTCAGGTATTAATTAAAAAATATCTTACTAACATTTTCGCTAAGTATATCGCAGTTTAATTGATTGGTTTTTTTCTATAATTTCAGAACAAATCCACTAAAATGTAGAGCTATTGCGGTAAGGTATGGACCTACGAACTGTGATAAAAATTGTATACGATAGAATAAATTTTGGAAGAAAACACGAACAACGGCCATCACATAGCAACATTTGCACTAGAAATCAGATTGAACTGGCCACATAAAAAAATACCAACCAGTAGGAATCTTTTCAATATTGCAAGCGACAAGTTAATTAAAAATCAGCAAACTGTCTGCGCTGTCGATTCGAAATTTTTCGGCAAACATGCTGAACAATCTGGGCGCCAATGTGTTGGGTAAGTGGCAAATATGTAAATCTTTGTAGAAAATTTTTTTATATTTAAAAATTATAGAAATCTAATAAAATAGCAATTGGGCATAACTAAATTAGCGCCTAATAAACTAACGGCTCAATTGGTTGTAGGCGTACGTAATACAGTTGCTGAGATTTTCAATGCATACATATTTGCTTTTTTTCGATTTTAAGCAAATATTCATAATTAAGATCACCTAGAGAATTGCGCTAATCAATAATAATGTTTCAATTTAGCAATAACTCAACAATAACAATAATAAACAAGTTAAACCGAAGACAACAAGTAAATTAAACTAATTTGTTTTGTATACGACGCACGCAGCAGTGTAGTGGCAAGCAAATGGAAAGTGTGACGACGAACTGGACAACGCTCTACTTAAATATGTACATACGAGTATATGCATATGATTTCCCACACCAATCTAACTATATACCAGCTCCTAGCCGATCGTGGGCGTTGGATCATTGGCATTTTAATCAGCTTAATCAGCGCTAAATGGCGGATAATTGAGTGGCGGCAAGAGTAAATCGAGCAAATATTGTTTGTACACTTGAAATGGATCGAAACGGAACTGATCGCAGGCAGGTGCCTGAGGCTCAAAGTGGACGCGTACGCGTTCGCGTTCGGGTTCAGGTTCAGTGCCAAGTGTTTGCTGATGCCACAATCATTTAGCAGTGCGTCAGCGAATGCCATCATAACTTACAACAGACTTATGTACTATGTACATATGTATGTATACGAATACATATGTAAGTATGTATGTATGGCTTGGTTCCTTCGGTGTATATGGATGGTAGGTGGTAGTCCAACACCTATCAGCGCCACCACCGCTTAACGCTGCCGCCATCAACATAACCAGCAGTAATAGTGTTAATTGTAATAATTGCTCAACTCAATAATTGTGGAAATTATTTTAATGCAAATTACAACTGATTGTATAAATTTACAATATTAACTTCTTCTTACCGCAATGTTAATGATTTTTAAACACTTTCGATTTCGACAAAATCAGCGGCCAATCGACAAATTTACATATGGTACGGACTAAATAAAAATATATGTTTTTGTATTTGTTTGCATGTATGTAAAGTAGTATGCGCGTAAACTGCAAATAAATAGCATATATTTAGCGATAAATATGATGCAATTTTCCAGGCATAGGAGTTATCCAACCATCCGAGTTGGGTGACTACTTAGGTGATGTTTTTAAAGTTGAATATGTACATACATACATATGTATGTATATCCATTAGGGTGGTACAAAAATGCATTTGAAAAAATAAAGTCGGAATTGTAATGCTCTCAAGCGCTAGGATTTTTCGGTATTGAAAAAGTATACCCTTGTTTTTTATTTCGAAATCAAACAAGTAATTTTTAAGCAAAAAACCAAACCGACGTCAATTCTCATATAAACATTTAGGACCACCGTTAACTTTTTCATGATCCAATGATCGGATCTAAGCCAGATTAAAAAGAATTTATCGAAATCGGTTGACGTGGTCCAAAGTCATGCGGTAACATACATAAAAATAATAATAATAATAAAAAAAAAATATTCCGACGAACTTACAACCTCCTCATTTTTTGGAAGTCGGTTAAAATTATTAGAGGTCGCTCATAGCGACAAATTTTATATGTTTTTTTCTTTTTTAAGTCGGACGGATTTCGTAAAAAAAAAAGATATATGTCTCCGATTCGCTTCAATTTTATGGGTATATACTAGAGATGCCAAACGAAATAAAAAAAAAATTGATATTTGCATCGATTTCAATCGAAATAAAAATAACCGATGCAGGAAAAAATCGTCAAAATATAGCTCGATCTCCCAAGATCGACTCATTTATATTGTCCAATAACGTATTTTACTTAATTTTTAAAACAAACATACATTGTTCGTAACAGTTTCAATATCCAGATTTATTCGAAAGTTATTAACAATCCGTAAATACTTAAAAAAAATATATATAAGATAAGGCTTTTCTATATTAACACAACTACGATATGATCATTCAACAGAATTTAATGGCGAGTGGAAATTCAGCATTAGCCCTGCCTAAGAAAATTGTAAACAATTTTCGATTTTTTTTTTAATCACAAATGAGCAAAAATTTTGATTTCTGTACTTCAAAACTATTTTTTTTAAGAAGTGTATTATACAATGGAGCATACATACGTATATAGATTTTTTTGCAATACAGGCGTTTTTTAATTTTGTTTTTCATTTTCCCTAACTATATATTTAACATTTTAATTACTCTATTTAGAAAAAAGTTGCTACAAAACTGGATGCATACTCAAAATTCTTCTAAATAGAGTAATTAAGGAGTGAAAAATTTTAAGGAATATTTGTATAAAATTTAGGATTCCAATTTTGAGAGTCTTTGTTGTATGGCCAATAGTCATAATTTTATAGTTATTGGAAAAATCGATTGTCGATTCTCGAGTTTTTTATCGATTCACGGATCGAATCGGAACTAGTAAATCGACCAAAAATCGAATCGGAAGGACTCGATTAATCGATTTTAAAACGGCATCTGTTTGAGGACTTTTTTCTTCTTCAAGGACGTACATGATTTTTCAGAAGCCCGAAAAAATTCGAACTTTGACAGATCATTTCTCCGAGGAAAAAAATCTTCGAATACGTGTTAGATTATTTCATGTATAGAACCCATGAAAAAAAAATTTGAAACCAATCAAAAGTGTGTCAACAAATTTGGCGTCCGATATGAAAATTAATGCCTCATATGGAAAAAATTATTTTTCTTGGAAATGTTATAGAATTCTTGGAAACCAATAATTTTCGATCGGAAAACTTCTTTCAACTTCAGGAGACTTCCAGTAAGAATACCCAATTGTTTATTTTAATTGTCATTAATATTAGCGACCTCTAAATATTTGTTGATTTTAAACTAAAGAGAAACAGGGATATATTTTTTTCGGTATAGAAAAATCCAAGGGGGCGCGGGCATTGAAATTCCGACTTTATTTTATTTTGGACCACCCGTATATCAGTGCATACCTATGTACACACTTTACATATTATATTTACGCACAGGCACTTGTTGACTGCTCCATTTGCTGCAAGCCTTGTTGCCAATAGCCGGCGCTTTGTGCTTTTACTGCCACTTTAGTAGCCGACTGTGCGCGCTGCGCTGGCAATATATTTTACAAAATTCAAGTGCCATTTTTTCAACTAGTAATTAATTACTTTAATTTGTTCGATTATTAATTTATTGCACATTTTTTCGAGTACACATTGCTTGCAGAACACAGGCAAATGTACAGTTTTATACAGAAATCCTTACATATTTACATATTTACATATGTATGTATGTATGCATAAGTGCAGCTGCCATTGGACTGCGATAGTTGAGTTTTAAAGCACATTTTTATGGCCTCGTTACATTTTTAAGTTTTATTTTTTATTTTTTTTTATTGTTGCTGCGCCTGTAGTATGCGCTTGCTGTTATAACTGTATACCTAGTTTTGTGAATTTTATAATTTTGGTAGGCCATCGTGGCTGCTTTCATCCTGTGGTGAGACTACAATAGAGGCCCTCTATATTTTTGCATTACTCCGGAGCGAAATCCTTTCGTCGTTGGGACGAAGGTTTCAAAATCATAGATTCTGCTTGTTGTCAGTTTAGCTAGGCTTTCAAGAAAGTAGGTATAGAAAAAAGTCGACGAGCCCTCGCCTATACGGTGCAGTGACGTAGATATTTTCCGACACCATCCTTTGCCTCTAGGTACATCACGGCACACACGACGGAAGTCCTTCAACTGTTGACCTACCCTGAACGCGCATTCCCATCAAACAGTGACCTTTACTAACCCGAATCAAATGCCGAGGTAGTGGTCGCACCATTCAGTATAGTGGGCTAAATATTCTCGCAGACTTTTTTCTATTCGAATGTTCGATAAAATCACTCCACGGTTGCCACACTTGGTATTTTGGTACCAGGAGTGGTACATATTTTCATCAATGGTACTTTGGTACCGTTTTGTATGAAGCGGTACTCTTTCATTCAATTAATAAATTTTAGTTTTATTTTATTTCGTAAACAATATTTCATAACTTTTCTTCAAAATTTTCGTTTTTTTTTTGAGATTGTATCTCAAAATTAAGTAACTTGACGAAGAGATTAACTTCAGTAAAACAGAAGGCCTAATGAGATAAAGATTTGATTGATTGTGTTTTCTCACGATTTTGAACATTTGAATTACATTTGACATTTTGAATTACATCTCTTTATTAGTAAAGTTGTGATATGTTTAATAAAAATTTAAAATTTTTGGAGTAAAGCAAATATAAAAAAATCATACTCTTTAATCGAAATTGGCACAAGTTTTGTGCCAATTCCATACTTAAAGTAGCAGCCGAGGTCACAGTTGGCAAGATGATAACGGAATTTTCACGTTGAGATCGGTACTGATTACAGACAATGAGGTTCTCTTCTTGGCAGCGGTGAGGTCTGCCTTTTCAGTTTCTGAGCCAACGGAACGTGAGTGTGTTTTACTGCCGGCTAAGGCAAATTTGATGAGGATACCGATAAAAGTAAAAGCGCAGTTAGTCAACGACGTAGCGTAAACGTAGGTTGACGTACGTAGCAGCATATCAAATTTACTGTTGATAGAGAGAGAGAAGCAACGGCAACGTCACCGCCAAGCGGTGGTGAATTTTCGTTAACACGCGATTCCCAAAAGGTAGATCGTGTCTGCGTCAACCTACGTCTACGCTACGTCGTTGACTGTTTGAGCTTTAAAGAGGCAGGTAGAGGAAGAAAGATTAAAATTAAGGTAAATATAGAGAAGAGGATACAGATAGAGACAAAGAGACTCAATCTGGGAACAATTTTGCGATTTTAAAGATTTTAATGATTCCCAAGACTTATCGATATAATAGTCGATATTTTGATCGGTTTTTAACGATATTTTTATCGATTTTGTTATCGACATTTTTATCAATTTTGCTATCGATGT